TCCAACGTGTTATGGTTAAAATAGAAAATTAAGACACTATAGAAACTCTTCTACTTAAAAAAGAGTGACATGCTGACACATTGATCATGAGTAGAAAACATTACATGATGGAAATGCATGTAATAAACCTAACCTACTTCACATTTAATAAACTTGAGCTATATCACATCATATCTTAGAAACTAAGTGGAGTCCCTTTTGGCTTATTGGGAGCTTCAGCCCATTGATGGCAAGAACAATGAAAAAAGATTAACTGCATATTGTCAGCATGGGAAATAAGTTCAAAGTTGAATTTCTACTTAATATATAAGTGTTTTTGACATAGAATAGTTTAAACCATGTAAAACACAGAAAATTTGGGATTGTCTCTTGGATTTCTGAAAGGCCGGGAACCACATTTATATCTGTAATCTGTAAGCAAGAACAGCGAACTTAGCATCAGACAGCAGCAGAGACCTCAGCCTGGCCATGAACTAGGACTGTTCCCCATGCAAACACTCCCTCTACCTGTGTTTTGGACTATGAATGGGCTTACCTCTCCTGGAGGGATATTTACAGCAAGGGCCAATTTGGTTCATTTAAATTAAAAATAAAACATTGAGTTTTGTGCATGCCAAGTTTACAAGGGCTTTACTTTTACCATTTAAATATTTTAAATATAATTTCTAGTGAATTTTATTCCATTTTTCTCCCGTTTTCCCACTAACTGTTCAGATAGCATGCTTGTTTCCTGTGTTTCCAATGTGAGTGACAAGGATAAGAAAGGAAGGGAATAGAGAAGAGAGGAGATAAGGCAGAATGTCATAGTTGAACAGAACCAGTAAAATAAATTGGATAGAAAAGATTAGTAGTTCTACTCATAGCTCAATATGTTGCCATGTATTTTACAATTTGAGCTCTGCTGTTTCAATTTCTACTACTGCAGAATCAGTGTATTGAATTTGATAAACTCTGCAGTTCCTTTAGTATTTCATATTTTAATACTTCAGTAATAAAATAAAAGTAAGGAGAACATGATATTATGAGTGTCATATAGATATATAACTTTTTGCCAAGTATCTTATATTCTCCATTCAGTTTCTGGTTTCAGAGAATGTATGAAGATGTTATAAAATAAAGAAGAGGGAAAATTGGACATTCCCTGTTCTGAATAAATATTATAATTTTTATAATATATACTATCTCAGTACTTTATTTTCTGTAACAATTAAATATAAGGGAATAGAGGGCATAAATACATCCCATTCAATTTTATTTCAAAGCATAACTGAAGCCATTATTTTTATGACATTCTTGGGTATATCAAATTTACATGTTGGTAAAAATTCAGGTGCAAATTCATACTAGGCCTACTTTTTTCCAATATAGTGTTTTTATCTATTTAATACAATTAGACATTATTTCAGAAATTTGCAATAGTAATTTGAGTAAAGGGAATTAACTAACTAAAATAGTAGTACTATACACTATGAATACATATGGCACATGTGCTTTGTTTATATCTAAACATTAATCTTTCATTTTAATATCTTTCAGACACAACTTCCAAATTTCTTTTAAGTTTGAAGTTGAATCTTGAACAGAGAAAACATATTGATTGAGTAGACAAGCACATTTAAGGATGTTTAGGTTTTGATTAACAGAAAGGTTAACCTTGGAAACAAGGCTCATCCAGAACACTTCTGCTTAAAGAGCAGAAAATACCTAGAACCCAACCAAAGTGTGTGCACGTATGCCACATCAAAGTTTCAAAGTACAGCAGTAGAGCAATGGCAATACAAATCCTACTCAGTGCAACACATATCAACAGTGTTAATATCATATTTGAAGATGGAATGAATACAACAATTTGACGTCCAACTCATTCAAATACAACTTTCTTGTTTGACACAATTACTGTATCAAACAGCGTTTGAGAACTAAGGAGGAAAAAGATGCTGGTGATCAAAATTATGATGAAAGTTGAATGTGGAGGAGCTCAAGCTTACGGAACTGTCTACTTTGCTTGAGTGTGTTAAGTGCAGTGATGTGACTGCCATTGGAGACAATCCCATCCTATACTTCAATGCCCGTTCCAGTCCCCTCTCTGCCCCGATTACAGCTTCTTGCTAGCAGTCATTCTGGGAGATGGCAGCCACAGCTGAAGTCCTCAGATCACTGTTATAAGGTGACAGATCTGGAGTCCAAATCCCTGGCTGCATCCTGATTCAGGTCCTTGGGGACTGGGCCAATAAATGAGAAACCTATCTCTGTTTATCTCTATTGTTGCTCTCTTAATTCCCCCTCTCTTTCCCTCTCTCTCTCTACTTACTCAAAAATAAATAAATAACCTAATTGCTAAGATTAGATAGATAAGTAGATAGATAGATAGTCCATTCCTAAAAAGACAGGACCATGTTACTACCTATGCATATTAACCCTGAATGTGAAGGGATACAACTAAATCAAGCAAACATCATAAAGTAGCAAACCAGATAAAAAAAATCCAGATTCATATATCTATTGACCACAGAAGACACATATCACCAACAAAGATAGGCAGAAATTGAACCTGAAAGGATGACAAAAGATATTACAGGTTAACGAAAAGGAAAAATGAGCAGTTATACTCATTCTTATACCAGATAGTACAGACTTTGAAGTGAAAAATATTAAAGGAGATGAGAAGGGGTACCACATAACAATCAAAAGATCCATTCAGCAAGAAGATATCACCGTAATATCTATACACACCAAATCCAGGGCACCTAGCTATGTGAGGCAAATATTAATGGATTTAAGGGGAGAAATACACTCCAATACAATAATAGTGGGTGGCCTTAGTACCTCATTAACATCAATGGATAGGTTGATAGGACAGAAACTCAGCAAGAAAACAACAGAGATTACCCAGACACTACAGCCAATGATAATTGATATCTGCAAAACCTTATATCCTACATACAGAGAATACACTTTTTTTTTCATGAGTACATGGAACTTTCTCCAGGATTGACCACATCATAGGCTAAAACACAAGCCTCAGTAAATTTTAAAAATCAATATTACAATATGCATCTTTTCAGACCATTATGGAGTGAAACTGAAGACCAATAGCTCAAAATATCCCTGAATACCCATTTAGGCAAATATAATGGAGACTGCATAATATGCTACTAAATGAACAATGGGTTATAGGGGAAATCAAAGGGTAAATATAAAAAGTTGAAATAAATGATGGCATCAACACAATATATCAAACCTAAGGACACAGTGAAGGCAGTGTGAAGAGGAACTTTCATCTTAACCAATGCTTATGTTAAGAAATTGGAAAAGTATCCATTAAAGGAGCTAACCATACATTTGAAGGAGCTAGAAAAACAGTAGCAAGGCAACCCCAGGATTAGCAGGAAAAAAGAAATAACCAAGAAAAGGGAAGAAATAAACCAAATAGAGACCAAAAGTACAATACATTGGATTAATGAACGGAAGAGCTGAATCTTTGAGAAAATCAGCAAAATAGATTTTTGGTAAACTAATTAATCAGAAAAAGCAGGGAGAAGATGCAATTCAATAGCATTAGAGACAAAAGCAAAATATAACAACAGATACTTTGGGTATACACAGATTTATTAGGATCTCTTGCAAGCAGCTATATGTCAACACATCAGATTACCTAATAAAAATAGATAAATTTTTGGATTCATACACGAGCAACATTAAATCATAGGCAATTAATAATCTAATTAGAGCTATAATCAAGACAGGGATTGAATCAGTAAGTAAACCCTCCCAACAAAAGAAACCCTGGAGCAGAAACCTTCAGTACAGATTTCTACCAATGTTTCAAGAAAAACTTAACCTAATCCTCCACAAATAATTCCAAACAGTAGAAGGGAAAGAAATTCTTTACATTCTATGAGGTTAATATCACCTTAATACCAAAGGCAGGTAGAGATAGAACAGAAAAGAGAACTACAGACCAATATCCCTGATTAAGAAAGATGCAAAGAGCAGCAAGAAAATACTAATCAACAGAATCTAACAGCACAGCAAACAGATCATTCACCTGGGCCAGGTGGAATTTATCCCTGGCATGTAGGGATGGTTGAACACTTGCAAATCAATAAATGTGATTCACCATTACAACAAAAAGAAACATAACATCTGTATGAGCATCTTAACAGATGCAAGAAAGGCATTTGATAAAAAAGAAACTACTTCTATTTTCATCTCTTTTTCTCAAATGGATCACAAGTTGGACAGTAGATACAAGATGTACATAATGGCCACTAACAAACTAAATGGATACTTTGGTTTTACTTTTTAAAATCTATTATTTCTACATGACAGTTCTATTAATTATAGGGTTCTTTCCCTCTCTCTTCTACATCCTTGCTAAATCATTTTCCATTTGCCCCTGTGCCATACTTAGTACAAATAGAAACTTTAATAGGAAAGCATTCTGCAGTTTAGATACTGGATTTGACTTATGAAATGGGAACCACTGACTCTGTATTTCAAGAATCTCATGCCACTTTGTCCACAGCCCAGTACAATTCTGGGGACTGGCCTCTCCTGGATGCAAATTTTTAAGTCACTTGAAACCAGATAGTTCTCACAGAGCCTGAGTACATGCCAAGCTTGGTCCCATTACCAAAAGAAGTAGATTTTCCAAGAAAGGAATGCAGATTCTCAAATTCCCACATCACATAAGAAATTAAACATTGAAAAGCAATGAAGACCAGTAAGACAATTATATTTGTGAAAGTGAATAAATTTATTCTGGTCAATACAAGTAAAGCTACATGCATTTTGATAGAAGAATTTATATATTAATGAACATTTGTTTCAAAAGTACAGATATTTGGCTCTAGATTTCATCGTTAAATTCTCAAAGAACTAGGCTGTCCACCACCACTTAATGCCAAAAAAAGAATGAAGAACTGATCATAAGAAGATTCACTTAATGTGGCATGCTAAGTAAACACTGAGATAGGTTGTTTAAAAAGTATGAAAATTCAGCAAGTTGGTCTACAATAGGATGACATATTGCTTGATGTATAAGAAGAAGACTGGCAGCTCCCTGAAGCCAAGGATGTTGGACATGAGATTTCAGATCCATAGCCCAAAGAAGGGAAGCCAGAAGCTCCACAGCCTAGGGATCTGAAACAACTGGGTCTACGGCCCGGGAAGTAGCAGCTCCTTGATCCATAGCCCAGGGAACAGGAATGTTTGGAGCCATGGCCCATCCAGCTACTGCTGCTGGACCCAAAACCCAGAGAGACAGGGTAAGTCGTCTTGTAGGGACTGCAGGGTGTGGAGGTTCTCAGGTGGTAGCGGGATGTCTGGCAGGGGCTGGATGACAGGCAAGATGGCTGGCAACCAGTAGGTTCAAAGCAGGTCTCGTGGCAGTCACTGTAGAGAGAGGAGCTTGTCTGGTAGTTGCTGGGAAAGCAGAGGTCACTGCTGTGAACCAAGCTGCTGGGGTAGTAAGACGTGCAAGAAGAGGCTGGGTAGTGTAGGGACCTTCCAAATGAGCTGGAGGAGAAATTTCTAGCACAGCAGTTGGAAGACATGGTGAAAGACGATGTGAGTCCAGTTCAATGTAGCCGAGAAGATTCTCAGTTTGACTGCCACCTTTGAATAGGAGCATTTATATACTGTCAGTTATAGGTGTGGTACTGAAACAGATCATCCTTTGCCTATTTGTGCTCACTCACTACCAGGCGTGTAACTCTGTAATTGCATTTGAATTATTTTCCACTTAAACAGTATTTATGAGCTCTGTAATGTCAGCAGCGCAGTAAAAAGCCAAAGAACTACTCCTGTGTCAGGGATGCTATGAGTGTTTTACTGTTAACACTGATTCCCTCCCATCCAGGAATGTCCCTCTTTTTCCTCTTGGCATAATCTCCAAGAGGTTTGTTGCTGGCTGTTCTGCATTCTCTAAAGTGTTTACTTGTTACTTGACATTATTGCTTGTGTCTACATCTAGCACAAGGGACAAATATCAGTCCAGACAAAAATGAATAATGTAGATGCACAGGACTAGAAAAATCCTAGACAACTATTTGGAGACATGACAGTGAAGGACAGAATTAGCACAGAGTCTCAAGTGGAAACCAATGTGGGCTCTTACAAAGAGAACTGGAGCAGTAAACCTTGAGATGGAACAAGTGGTCACAGAGTCGTGGACATAACATATCTGACAAAGGTCCTGTGGCTCTGAGGGACTTACATCTGTATTTGTACTGTCCTGTAGAATTCACTGTATAAGTCTAAATCTGCAGGAAGCTTAATTCATAGTTATCTTTACTTGTTGCTTTATAAAAATGAAACATGCCATTGTGCAGAAACCTCTAATCTGGGGCTGCTCTCACGCAATTACTGAGCAGAGTGGGGAACAGGATTGTTGGGAGACACTGGGCTCCTTTAGTGGTCCACTGGCCTCAGTTTCCCCAGGGATGTTGGAGATTGCTCTAATCTGCTCATTCTGCAGAGCCTTCTTTCCCTATGTTCTCTTGAGAACCTCTCAGTCTGACAACTTTAAACTTCTCTCAGGTAAGCTTCTGGAGAGAAAACAAGCAAATATAAAACGATGTGACTGTATTTAATCTTGCTAAGTTTGGGGGTGGGGAAATAAACAAATTGGTTGGTGGATCACAAAGTGTTCAGACTGGAGATTTTAACTTGAGCATGGCAGCCAGAGTTAACCAAGGTTGTCTCAGGGAGAGTTGGTCTACAAATTAGGGTGCCTGCAACCCACCTTAGAGATCTTAGAGTTGATTAACATTCTGGATCCTGTCAACACAGAACTTGCTGCTAATGCAGCATCTGATCGGCAATAATTGCTCAAGGAATCGAGTCCTTGCCAAACTTCTGAGAGACCTATATTGAGTTCTGGCCTCCCAGCATCAGTCCATGCCCTGGCTGTTACAGGCATTTGAAGAGGAAGCCAGTAAATGGGAGATCTTTCTCTCTCTCTCTCTCACCTGCTCTCTCCCTCTCTCTCTGTCTCTATCTCCTTCTCAAATATTCTTAGACTAGACTGTTAAAATCATGACATCTACCATTAGCAACAAAATAGTCCCAAGTGCAGGCCACTCTGCTCAGTGAAATAAGCTAGTCCCAAAGGGGCAAAATCTGTACGTTCTCTCGGATGCAAGGCAAGATTCATGCAAAATACAAAACAGACATATAATAACATGTTTGTACATATGTTCTCATAGATAAACTGTATAATGGAGACTAGCCTACCAGGAAGCAGGACACATTACACCTAAACGAAAGAACTCCCCATGAAACTGTTAAATATACATTGACGATATACAAGATTTCTACTATTCCCTATGCTTACAATGCCAGCATATGCTTAAATAGCAGAATGCTGGACTTGTGACAGTTGCTCAAGGAGTCTACTACCGTAATAACATGGGAGATGGTGAAGGGGGCAGATGGGAAGAGAGTGAAAGGGGAGGTGGAACCAGGAATCCCTAGACCTGCAAGATGATGTCATGGAAAATAATAACAAAATAATACAAAAAATAAAAATAAATAAAAGAGGAAAAAGAAAATTATTTCTATTGCTTAATGATCTAAAAAGGAAACAGCAACCCAAACTTGGAAATCAGGCTTTATATCTGTGTGCAGATTGTCCAATGTCTTCTGAAGAATATCTTTAGTCACCTCCAGTTCAGACCATGTCTACATGGGCTTTCTCACTCTTAACTTACATGTAAAGTTTATGCTTTCTTCAATGTTGAGAAGTTCTCAACTGTAGTCTATCAAAATATAATTTCTGACCCCATTCTTCTTTCATTTCTTTTTGCAGTCCAGTCATGTTGGGTACACTTTTTAACTAGATTACAAAAGAAACTGTTTACTCTATTTTTAGTTTTCTCTTTGTTATTTAGTTTGAAAATGTCCTTCTGTTCCAACATCAATTTACTAATTATCTCTGTAGTTGTTTCATCTTGTTGAAACCCATTCATTACGATTTTAAATGGATTCATTATTGTAAACTTCTGCAATGTTGATTAAGTTCTATTATGCAGAGTTCAGCTTCCTGTCAATATTCGAACCTCATCTTTCATTCTTTAAATACAGTCACTCTATAATAACAGCCTCTTTCCAGTTGTCATTATGAAATTCTTTGTGTATGATTTTAACACCTGGTTTTAATAGGTGCTTTGTACAAATTTTGAGACTCCGATTTTATTTTATGGCGTTCCTTTGTGTTTAATCTTGTCATATTCTTTCTACATTTTGAAATAATAACAGATACTTTGTATGAAAGATGTGATTTTAGCTACTTAGGAGAGAACTCACTTATTTACTCACCCACCTTTGTTTTTCCGACTGCTCAGGATATGGATACCATATTTACGGCACTTTATTCTGAGCAGGGATTCAGCTCACCTAAACCAAAGCTTTGGTTTTCTTATGAAGGTGTTTGAAATTCAATTTTGCTTCTGAGCTTCGATTTTTTTTTTAAGTCTGGGCTTTTTCTCAGTGCCAAATCTCTTTCATAAGCACTAAATTCCAATTTTGCTTCCCAATGAGTCCATAGACAATTTTCTCAGCGGTTAATCACTGCTCTCAAGATCAGATATCATTCTGAAGGAATGGCAATGTGTTCTTCTTTGTCTTTGGTTTTGTCTTACGGTATATCTCTGTATTTGCCAGGATTTGGCATTACCCTTCCATTTTTTAAAAACGTACATATATACGCATAAATGCAGACACACACAAAAATGTATGTATTTTATCAAATACCTCTATTGTTGAGAAGAGTGCAAAATTTTAAGCAACATGCAATTGTTGATTTTATGCAATTTTGCTATATTTTTGTTCAAAGTATATAGGAGTGATTGAAATAAGGAAAAAGCTACCATGAAGATGATTATGTAAAAATTCACTGTTAAAGGGGTCTCTATTGTGACACTTGGGTAAATGCATGTAATGGAAGCGTTCTATATGAACACCGCTTCCTGTCCTGGCTGCCTCCCTTCAGATCCAGTTTCTTGCTAACGTACCTGAAGAAACTTTGAAGATGGCCCAAGTGCTCCCACATGAAAGACATTAATGAAGTTTCCTGTTCCCGGCTTTTGCCTGGGCCATCCCCAGATATTATGAACCTTTGCGGAGCAAACCAGCAGGCAGAGGATCTCTTTCTGTCTACCTTTTTCTCTCTACATTGCTCAATTGTCAAGAGTAAGCCCTTTAAAAAAAATCGTTTTAAATGCTTCAGCAGTTTAAGTGGTTGTAAATTAACTACTACAAAAATTCTGAGAAGTCAAGTGGTATGAGTATGTAATGAGTATGTAACCTGTCTTTATAGTTCTGCTATTTCATTATTTTTTTCCTGATTTTCTCTCTCTTTCTCTCTCTTTCCACTCTTTCAAAAGGCAGAAAGACAGTTTTACCAAGATTCACCATCTACTGTTCACTTCCCAAAGGAGTGTGTTTTTGAATACATCAGATTACAATTGCCACAGTTAGGTCGGGCCAACGCCAGGAACCAGTACTTCAGTTTAAGTCCAACACATGGGTTTCAGGAACCCAGCTAGTTAAGAAATCACTAGCTTCCTCCCTGGGGGTTATTAGCAGGAAACTTTAATTGATAATGGAGCCAGAATCTAATTCAGGCACTCTGATATAGAATGGTGTATCCAAGAGATGGCTTAGCTTCTTAACCAAATGGCTGGCCTCTCTTACAGTTCTTATATACCTGCTTTACATGGTGTTGCCATATGATGTAAACTCATTATGTACCTGAATTTCATTCTACCTTTTCCTTCAATGCCATCTTATTCCTGTACATATTCACTTATGCTTTACAAAGTGACAACCCATCCCTCTACAGTGCCTGTTAAGCCCCTGCCTGTATCCCAAAAAACATCACAGGGACATGCAATAGACTCAGGGTATTTGAAGATATTTGTATATTTCTGGTCTTACACTCTGGCATCTTTTGAGTGTGGTGAATTCTTGCTCAGGGAATTTTCCACTAGCATAGTACTCTAATCTCCCAAAGCCATCCTGGTTTAAATAGCGTGTCCTATAATATAAACCTCCCAATCTGTCAGGTATTTTTGAGACTATCTTCTAAAAATCTGGTATTTAAATCCAGGTTTCCAATTATTGCTTCTGGACAATTCATACAATAAGAAATGTCTGTGTGTCTCATTAATTCATTTGCTGGGAAATATTCACTGTTTGTTTTTTTTTTTTTTTGCAATACATAACATTTTAATATGAATATCCCTAAAGAAACAAAGGTTATTTCACCAAGAGAAATGTGTCTTTGTGTTGCCTGTCACGTATATTTCCAGTGAAAATGTAATTTAGAAACTTTCAAATTTACATTGGGTTATAAGAAATAATATATTTTGAGGCAAATATTAGCATACATAATACCAATTAGAAGAGATCTTTTGCTGTGTCAAATATTGGCTTTTGTTTATCAAGTTTCTAATGTGTATGATTTGTAAATGCAAGGTCACCAGGAAGTTAGGGGTAGATAGACTGATAATTGCACCAGAGAAAATGGGAAGATGCCCCCCAAAAATGTAAC